TGATGAAGACGTCGATGCAGTCGGCGGCGATGGACCCGACCACGGGCACCATCGACATGGACCTCATCGCCACCGGCCGCTCCGCCGCGGACCGCAACGCCGCGAAGATGCTCGCCGCCGCGCTCAAGGACCGCTTCCTCGCCATGTCGGCGCAGACCATCTCGCTGCAGGAGCTGCAGCAGTCGGCGCAGGAGGACACCGGCGTCGAGGTCTCCATCACCGTGCTGCGCGAGGCGCTTGCTATCCTCGGCCGCGAGGGGCTGGTGTCCGTCAGCCGCAACCAGGTCACCGTCCACTGAGCGCCACCGCGCGCGCGGCCGCCGCTAGTGTTTGAATCGAGGGTGTGTAGATGTGGTGGGGGGTGGGCGGAGAGAGGGGAGGGGGGGCAGCATGTGAGTACACGCGCGTCGGCCGCGCCGGAGTGCCACCACGCGCAAACGCGCGCTGGAGTCCTCCTGGTGCCGCTCTTTATCGTACACGGGTCGCGTTTTCGGCTTTTGCGTTTTGGACATTGGACGACCCACCAGGAAACGGCCACGAGCACGACGGTCGCACGAGCCGACGACCACACACGGCACACACACCCCCGACCCTTAGGGTTCTGAGGGCCGGATTTTTTTAAGACCTTCTAAGAAATGAGGATATTTGGGGGCTGAAATTGCCATTTAAGAGATTGCAGGCACGGGGGGTCCCTCTTTTTTAAGACCGTTTTTAAGAAAATCGGCCTCACCGGCCATGCGCCCATGCGTCGGCTGGGTTCCGCGCCGTTTTCTCCAATACCGCCGTTATTAGGCACAAAACCGCCTCTGAAGACACATCTGTAAGCCATACTCGCATAGGGGGCGCGTGCTAGCTGACTGTAGCCAGCTTCCCGGCCTCCGGCGTCTACCGGGAGCCTCCCGGACCATCGCCCGATCGCCCCTCGGGAGCTCTTCCGCACCGTTTAAGCGTTTTAAGACACCGTTTAGGAATCGGCGGCCCAGCAGCTCTTAAAACCTGCCTAGGCAGCCAGGTTTTAAGCCGTTTAAGCCGCAGACGCCCCAGAGCCCACCCTTTTAAGCCTACTGTTGCGGCCTAAAGTCTGTGCAGGTTAGTCAGGGCACGATCCCGGCGTGAACACGACTAACTGACGGATCCGCTCCTGACAGTCGCACGCGCCGCGCTGCGGGGCGTGCGACTGTCTTTGTTTGAAGTAAAAAGTCGAATCAGAGCGGTGTCGGCGCTGCCCTGAGTTTTCCTCCCACGGACCGCCCGTCCGGCACCGCTCCGGGACGCACGCCGGCGAAGCACCATCAAGCTGCTGTACGGCCCCGGCATCGCCTTCCCAGGCTTAGCTAGACTGAGAGATATTGTGCACATGTTCGGTCTCTACAATATATACACTGACACTGAACCTCCCAGAGCTCGTCCCGGTCCGTCACGGCCATCCTCGTCCTCCGGAGGGCCCCCGGCCGCGGCGCGGTGCGGCGGCGTCACAAATCCGACCACAGAGCACCGGGACGCGGTCGGGCGATCTGAGGCCCGACTAGGCGTATGCATTGCCTATCCAGGGCTATCACCTGGACCTATCAACAGGCGCCTGCGGCGCCGACCCGTGGTCAGGAGCTGCTGTTCACACCTGCACAGACTTTCGTAAGGTACAGTCGATAGCCTCCGCGTGCGCGACGGCGCCAGTGCATTAGAGCATACTCGAGTCACGGTTATAGTTTTGCACAGACTTTGATACGGCCCACAGTAGGGGTACCCTAAGAGCCCACCCTTTTAAGCCTAGGGGTACCCTATAAGAGCCCCCGACCCCCCTTGAGTGCTGTGTGCTGTGAGACGCTGCTGAAGTGGTCTGAGCGGAGTGCTGTCTCTGGCCGCCGCTCTGCTGTGCCCCCAGCGAGCCCGATGGCCCGCGGAGCGACGGCCCGCGCGAACGATAGTCGATACCCAGTCAGCGTCACGCCGGAAGGGAAAAGGCCGGAAATTCGGCTGCTTGGAAAAGAAGAGTTTGAGCAAAAATGTAAAATTATTGGTTAGTTGCTAAATCCTGCATCCAAATCACCTCACGCTCTGCTGCATACTGCCGGTAACGGTTCTCCCTGGTGTCATATGCATAGCCCTTGCCGCTGAGCTGGCATTGCATATTTTATGAGCGAAGCCGGGCAGGTGTCAGTGCACTGCACGATGACGGGCTGACACGACGTGGGGCAGATCGCAGCCCCCTCTTGGCCGCAGCAGATATCGTGCGTGCGAGCACATGCATCAATGCAGTCGACCGGTGTCACGCTGTAGTCGCACATGGGCCCTTCTGGTACAGCTCGGCCGCCACACCAGTTCGGGCCCACATAATTGCCGTACACAGCGAGCAGCTCGCGCCTTTCAGGAGTCGGCAGAGCGAGGGCCGCGAAGACCGCCTGCAGCATAGTTGAAATGTGGCCTTGTCCACGTGTCGCAAAACGCCAAGAAGAATTTAAACAAAACAACTCTCTCTCACAGCACACAGGCTCGACACAGGTGCGAACGGGCGCGTGCTAGTACTATCACCGGCACACCAAGAAGAAGAGGCGGAAAACCAGCCCCCGCCCCGAGTCCGTGAACCGCGAACCAACCGTGAACCGACTAGCCCCCACCCACCCCGAGTCGGAGATGAGAGATTTTAAGCCAACCACTTCTTCTTCGATTCGGTGAACCGTGCGTCTTTCTTGGCACTTGGGGCCGGGGTTGTGTTTTTGTTTGTGTGAACCGTGAACCGAAGTGCGAAGACTCCTCCCGCGACACCCGCCGAGAACCGTGACCGTGAACGAACCGAGTGTGGCGAACCGGCTGCGAACCGAGTCTGGATGAAGTACAGCAGTTGCAAGACTCGCTCCTCGGCAGGAAAAAAGTAATTGATCCTGCGAAGTGGCGGCCCCAGGCGGCGGTGTATGCAGGGCGCCAGCTCCAGCTTCCGCCCGCCGCGCCCCTCCGCTGCGGCCGCGGCGGCCGGCACGGCTCCGGCGGAGGGCGTCACGTACCCCGCGGACGTCGACTCGATGGAGATCGATGACCCCGCCGCGTTCGGCCTCATGGACCCGATGGACGCGCCGACCGAGACTGTCGACACGGAGTTCTTCAACGGTGCGCGGCCCCGTCGCCGCGACACACTCCGCATACCCCGACGCCACCCCCCTTCCGCAGACTTCCCGGACGACTTTGACGACGAGAACCTCGACTGACCCTGGGTGGGACAGGATGACACATCCTCGCGCAAACTCCTCGCTCGCGGCCGTCTTCGCCGCCTTGCGCTGCTGGCACACTGCCGAAGAGCCGACCACCATGGGAGAAATCATGTATGGCACCGGTGCGAAGCAGCTATCGGGATTTCGGCGGCGCGGGATGTACTGCGGATACGGGTTACGGTGTACGTTGCCGGAGTCGGACGGCACAAGCGGAAACCGGGGCGCTTGAGGCCTGTGACGTGAGGGTGGAGGGCACGCTGGAGGGTGAGGGCTTTTGAGGTGTGCCGCGGTGTGCATGATTTGAGTACTATATGGGTGTGAGCCCAGCAAGACAAGAATTCGAAGCCAGCCACGACGCGTACGACAACACACAAGCGAGAATACATTAAACCACGCACGAAAACCGGCAAACCAGCCGCTGCCGCCGATCGAGCGTGCGCGCGAGAGGGGAGCACGCGAGACGACGGTCCGCGAAAAGGAAGAGGCCAGCCGAGCCGCCGACGCGCCAAGTCGCGCGCCGCGCGCCGCGCCTCAGATGGCGACGCCGTCCACGGATCCCATCATGGTGGCAGACTGGAAGGCGCCGTCCAGGAAGAGGCGGAAGGCGGGGTCGAGGAAGAGCGGGCGGAAGAGGCTCGGCGTGAACTGGACGATGGGCACCTGCCAGGCGGCCTCGATTGCGACGTAGTTTGCGACGGCGAGCATCGCGATGCGCCCGTTGAGGAGCTCCTTCTCTTGGAAGGCGCGCCGCTCCTCGCCGCTCAGGCCGCCACAGATCTTCAGCGGGTCAAAGGGCGCCGACAGGGGCACCTCGGGCAGCCGCTGCGCGGGGGTGCGCACGCAGCCGGGCACGTCCGACGTCGGCCACTCGTTGAACTTGAGGCCGAGCTGCTTGCGCGCCTTGATGTCCTGCAGCTCGAGGACCGCGCCCACAAAGACAAAGAGCGACAGCGCCGGCGCCAGCTCCCACTGGTCGAGCCCGCCGTTGAGGAGAGAGGGCGACTTGCCCGCCGACGCTGCGAGGCCGTCCCGAACGCCGAGGCCGTCCGCCCGCGCCGCGTCCACCAGGATCGGGTGGAGGATCTCTTGCAGCGGCCACGCGATGGCGGCCAGCATCGCGAGGCGGCCGTGCTTGATCTGCGAGTGGCGGCGGCAGGTGCTCAGCGGGCGGGAGTGTGCAACGTGTGTGCGTGATGTGGGACCGCGTGAGCGTGGCGTGGGATTGGCCAGCGGCACCGCGCGCCTCTGCCTCGCGAAAGGGAGTGATCGTCTCGGACGTGCCGAGGCCGAGTGGGTCAAACTGGTAGTCTCCGACCGCGCGCGGCTCCGGCTCGAAGGAGGCCGACATGGACGGCTGGAAGGGTGAGACGCGGGGAGCGCCAGAGGCGAAGAGGGTCGGGTCGGCAGAGAGGACGACGCGGCTGCGCTGCGGGCTGACGGTGTGCGGGCCCACGAAGGCGCTGCCGGCGATGCCAGAGAGGGAGAGCATATTCGGACGTGACAGGAAAGCCCTACACTTTCCTGGCCTGTTCGAAGAAAGGGACGAAAAGTTCCTTCTTTTTCCAAATCCTGCACAGGTGGGGACGTGCGTGTCTGTCCTCGACCCAGCCCTAGCTTGGGGTATGGAATTTTTTCTTTCTCTCGCCTTCTACTTACTTTCTGATGTTTGTCTGCGTGTCCTCTAAGCGGCCGGGCCACCCACACCGACCCGCCCACCCGCGTCGTGACTGATGATGACTTGATGACTGTCCTCGCTCTTTTCCGGCACCTCCGCCTTTTCAGCCGCCGCCGGGGCGCCTTTTCGGGGACGGATAATCTTGCTCGCCGGTTCCATTTCGCCTCCAGGCGGAGGTGCACAGAACGCGGCGACCGGAGCGAAGTTTTACGCCCGTTGATGAACATCCATGGGGACAAATTCAGCTGTCGCGCTGCTGGATGATCTTGCTCAGCTCGCCGAGCTCGACCTGAACGCTCAGCGGCGCGATCGCTGAATCGCAGCCGTTCGTGCTGCTCGCATGCATCGTTGCAGTTTCAATTCTTCCCCCCGTGCCTAACAGAGCACTTGCCACTTGGAGCACTTGGAGTGCAGTCATTAACCTCACATCCAGGGCCAGGGAGCTGAGAAGCGCACCCAGCGAGCCGGATGGTCGGTATCGGGCTACGGGCTAGAGAGCCTTGACCCCTAGGAGGGGTGCGCGTTCGCAGGGAAAGGGCCGTAAAGTAAACACAGAAAAAAATCTTCTTTGCCTCGCCAACTCAGGACAGCGCCATCGAACGCACATGCTCGACGGCGGCAAACGGCGCCCGGGCTCGCCGCCAGGGCCAAATCTGCGGCTACTCGCCACACTTTTCCTGCTGCTGCTGCTCTGCATGCTGCTGCTGATTCGCGAGCCCGACGGCGGCGGCGGCAGCGGCGGCGGCGGCGGCGGCGGCGGCGGCGGTGGGATGCGGCCGTCCTCCCAGGTGGCGAGCAGCCTAGTGGCTCTCGCGGACCGCAACACGGCGCTAATATCACAGCTAGTGCGGACTGAGGATGGCGCGGATCGCCTGGTCGGCGGTGCGGCGCCGTCGCCGCGCCCGTGGCTGCGCATCGCTCTGATGTCGGTCGGCCGCTCCTCGGGCGCAGAGTATTTGCTGCACGCTCTGCGGGCGCTGCTGCAGACGCATCCGGCTCGTGTCTCGGACCCGCTGCGGTCCTCGATCGAGATTGTCGTCGTCAACAACCACGCTCCACCAGAGGCGCACTCGGTGCTCTTGCGCGCGAAGCAGCTGTATGGCGGCCGTGTCGTGTTCGTGGAGAAGGAGGCGGCGGCGGCGCGGGCCTGCAGGGCGACGCCGAAGGTCAAGGGCGACGTGGCGAAGGAGCCCGTCTTTCGTCAGACCTGCGACCTGGTGGGTGGCCTCGAGGCGCTGCTTGCGATGCCGCCCGCCGATCACGTGCTGCTGATGGAGGACGACTGGCTGGTCTGCCCGAGTGCGCTGCTCGCGCTTCAGTACCTGATCGACAAGGCGTACGCCTACGACGAGGACTGGCTCGCGCTGCGCGTCTCGTATGGGTTCAACGGGGTGGTGGTGCGCGGGGGCGCGGATCTGCGCTCCCTGCGGCGACACCTCGAGTCCCACCCGTGGCGCCGCCCACCCGACCACCTGCTCTTCGAGTGGTTCTCGGGCGAGCGGCCAGACACAAAGGCGTATGCGGCGGGGCGCAGCTACCGCGTGTTTCGTCACAACCTCTTCTACCACATCGGGGCGCTGTCGACGCTCAACCAGCCGAAGACGCGCTTCACGCCCGGCTGCTACTCGCTGATGTGAGATTCGCCGAGATTCGCCGAGATTCGCCTCCATCAACTCGCTGGTGCGCAACTCGCTTCTCCGCGCCAAGGCCTCCTCGACGAGCCTCTTTAGCGCAGTCTCGGAGCAGGTCTCGGACCGCCCGATAGGTACGATTGGCTCCTGCCCGCCGAGGTCTTCGACGAGAAGGCCTCTGCTGCACGACGGCGTCCGGTGGCGGAGGAGGCGCCTCCTCCACCCCTTCGTTCACTGGGTAGGCGTGCCCGCACGACGACGTCTGGCCGTGCACAGAGGTGGCCAGCCCGCGGCCCACTCCGCATGAACAGTCCCTGCCGAGATTTGAGCGAGTTTGTCCCGAGATTTGAGCGAGCTTGTCCCGAGATCAGGCGGCCAGAGCGGGGGCGCCCCTCTTCAGTGCGCCGGACGGGGGCGCCGCGGGATCCCCGCCGCGGCTGGCGTGGTCCGCTGCCGCTTGGACCCCGGCGCCGCTCGAGATCCGGAGACGGAGACAACGACGCTCGTCCGCTGATCCGCCATTCCCTCCTCAGGCGCCCCTCAAACCGGCGGCGGCCGCCACCGCCTCGCACGACGCCGGCGAGGTTGCGAGGTGGCTAGCGGCGGCAGCGGCGGCGGGCGACGACACCACCGCCGACGCCGCGCCTGCGTTCGACGTGGCGGCCGTCGGAGGCAGAGGGCCGCAGCAGGATGGCGCTCAGGATGGCGCGGGGCGCGCGGGCGGTGTGGAGGTCAAGGCGTTGCCGGCCGCCCGCGACACGCGCGCGGTGGTTGCGCGGCGCGCCGAGCCGCTGCGGCGACGCGATTTGACAGCTTTCGGCGCGACTCGACGCCCCCCCCCCCCCCCCCTAGGCGGTCCGAGTCGTGCGACGACGCGTGTCTGCGGGAGGGGTTTGCTTGCTCGCTTCAGGGGTTGCGCGCGCTCAACAATTGCGAGAGCCTCAAAGCGCATTTTGCTTGCGCGGCGGGCTGCGAGGCGTCCGAGGGCACGGACCAACCCGCCGAGGTCGTGCCTGACGCGGCGGAGAAGTGGGGGCCCAAGCGGTGCCTCAAGACGAGCGGGCCCGTCTCGTGCGTCGGGAAGCACGAGGCCACTGCGCGCCTTTGCGGGTGCGAGCAGGCTGCGGCGGCGGCGAGCGGGTAGCGCACAGCGTTTACGAAGTATTGTATATAGCTTTCTTTGCGTTTGATCGTTTTAATATTTAAATCGGGACCGCTCGCCGCACGAAACGGACAAACAAAAGAATTATCAATTAACAAAAAAGAATACTCTGTCTACACACTCCAAACACACGCCACAGGCTCAGGCCTGAGCGTGTAATTCGGAAAACGGAATTCCGAATTAGTTATTGCAGAAATTGGCGCGTTTAAACAAAAAAGAAATTTCTCCGCCATGGAGTGTCGCAGGCGGCAGGGGTCCAGGGGACCAGGACGCAGGTGGCAGGAGGGCTCCGTGTCGTGGGAGTGACGTTGTTCGTGTGACATCGCAGTCAGAGAGAGCCATCCGTGTTTTCCTTGTGGGTAAGGTACATCTCACCGCTCGCCACAATCATCACGCTTCGCCGATGTGAGAGAGAAAACGCGATTGTGTGCGTGAGCCTCGCTGCGCCACGGTTCCACCCTGTCAGGGCCTGTGTTGTTTAGATGCCCCGCTCCCCGCCCCCGCGCTCTGAGACGAAAACTCTCGAAAAAAGCGCTGGACGCTCTTTGCACGCGCTACGAGAAGGTACCTATAATAGTAAAACCTAATAAAATTAACCGTATACCCAGACTTGTCCGGCATATGCGCGCCATATCGTCCACCGATGGTTAGGCGGTGACACGGATCAACTGCATTGGCCGTGGGCCCGGCAGCGCGGTCACCTCGACCACGAGCCCAGCATCACGTGCCACGGCCTCAAACTGCTGCCCGTCGGTGGCGGTGACACGTTCGTGATGCACCGGTTCGATAAACACCGCGAACGGCTCCTTGTCCCCGCTGCCTCCGGCATCGTTGGCGAGCAACGCGTGCTGCAAAAAGGCCACCAGAGGGCCGTGCTCAGTGCCGTGGTATAGCACATCGGTGGCGAGGACCGCGTCGAACTCGGTCGCTGCCGGCCACTGCTCGGGCTGCTGCCAATCTGAACCGGATTAGAGGAGGGAAGATGGCTCACGACGGGGAATCGACGGGCTGCGGGAGGCATTTAACGCACCAAGCGGTCGTGCCGACACTTTCGCCAACCCGTTCTCCTTTGCCGATTGCTCCGCCAGCATCAACGCCTCCAAGTCGTGGTCCGTTAGCGTCACCGATGAGGGAGCCGCGCTCATAGCCACTGACATTCCCGCGAGACCGAGCCCTGAGCCGAGCTCAAGCACTCGTTTGTCTCTAAAGTCGAGCCCCAGCCGAGCCAAGCGAGGCCCGCCGGTTGCGAGCAGCTCGGCGAGCGCCACAGAACTTGGCCACACAATATCGCCCACCCTGGAGGTGCCGTCTGCCACCGCGCGTTCGAATGCCTCCGGGTCAAGCACGTAGCTCGGAACATGCACCACCAGGCCGGCGGGTCCCACCGGGGTCTTGACCGATTTCCGAGCATTGGATGCATTGGATGTGGAAAGATGTAGCTGCTCCGCCGCCGCTACCGCCGCCACCGCCTCGAGCCGAGTCCGACTCATCCGTCCCACTACCCGCCCGAACTTGTCCAAGCGGAACATAGTGTTATGACCACAATCGGCCGATCGCCCCGCCCTCCCCGCGCGTGTTCTCCAGCTGCTTCCACCGCAGCCTGCCGTCGTCCCCCCCTGAGGCGATACGTGTTGACAATCGGTCGCACAAGTGGGGGGGCCGTCCCAAAAAGTTTTATTTTATTCTTAGCGCGGGTCCCTGTAGTGGCGACGAGTACCCGGAGGTGGACTGCACAGGGTTTGCGTTGGGGTCTTGCGACACCGATTTTTTCAGTCATAACTTTTTCTTACTTAGTACTTTTGTGGTGTGCGCCCAGCCCTGCCTAAGGCGTTCCCTCGCCGCGACCAGCGAATTCTTTTTTACGGGGGCATGTTAAAGTGCCCGCCGCCATCCCGACGCGCCGTTGACCCAAAGGGGCGTCGCGGGTCCACCGCTCGCCTCAAAGTGAGACGGCCGACATGCGCCTAAGCCTGATCAAGATCGCATGCCGGCACGCTCTCATCCATTAGACGAATGCCATGCGATGCGCGACATTGAGGCATCGCTGGGCCGTGGAGCTGTTCGACGTGGCTCCGTGTCTGGTTCAGAGAGCTCGGAGCGGCGTCGCAGCCGCAACGCCGACACGGCTCGCTCACAGGCTGGCAAGGGGAAGGACCGCGCGAGGACGCGCTCCGCTCTTCAGAACAACAGGCGCCATGATTGTAAAACACCAGCATGGTTAGCATGACCCATGTGCGTCACGCGAATGAGCTCGGATGAAGTATATGAAGAGTCGCACACACGCTCGAATGATTGCTGCTGCCGGGTCTGCGGCCTCCGCAGCCTCCGTGTCGCATCGAGCCACAATGGCCAAGCGGACGGACACCCAGGCATGTCACCACCACCCCGGCACTACTAGGCACGGCTATTGGCTGCTGCTCATCCTCTTCCTTTGCGGGCCTTTGGGCACGCTCCTGTTCTTTGTGTTGCTCCCTCCTGACACCCACAGCACCGATGAGACGGGGCCATATGAGTTGGGCACCAAGATCGTGCACCTAGCACTGGCGGGAAGCTCGAGGCGCGCGCGGTACGTGCTTGACGAGTACACTGTCTGGGGCACGTTTCTCGCCGGCGTGCGCGACCGGCTGCAGTGCGGGCCGATCAGGACGGTCACCGACTCATCGGGGGAGGCGATCCTGGCGGTGGCCGACATGGTGGACCATGATCACATCGTCATTCACGCCGACTGGAGCGGGGGCCTGGGCGAGGCGCAGGCCTCCGATGGCGGAGGCAGCACGCTCGTGCGCGACCGAAGGTCGGGCAGCGACGGCCTGCTCCGGCTGGGCAACAGCACCCGGCGAAGGCACAGGGCGCGCTCTCTGCCCAAGCTGATCGAGCAGGTGGACGCGCTCCAGGCGCAGGGGAGCAGGCGTGGCGTGAGCCCGGAGGGATCACCGGAGCTGACGCCGGTCGAGCCGTGCGGTGCGCGCCATCCAACCTTCCGGCTCGCGATGGTGGTGCCGTGGGTCACCGATATGCCGCCGTGGATCACCTACTTTGTGGCGTCCGCGCGCCGTTCGTCGTACCTCGCCGACTTCCTCGTCTTTCACGAGATGATTGAGCCGCCAGAGCACCTGCCTGATAACGTCATGCCCTCCGGCCGTGCTGCTGCGCGTCAGCGATGTCGCCCCCAGGACGCTCGTTACCGATGCGCCGATAGGTCCGCTTCATCGACCTCGGCGTCGGTGGCCTGTCGCAGCTCATCGGGCTCCGCCTCGGCGACGAGCTAGGTATGCCCGTCCGCAACGCATCGCTGCTTATCCGCTCCCTCCGCTTCATGCTCGACAAGTGGCCGCGGCTGGTCGCCGAGTACAAGCCCGCCTTCGGCACGATTTTTGAGCAGTACTTGGGCGACTATTCGCATTGGGGGTACGCGCAACCGGGGGGCGGGCGAGGCACCTCCGCCCTCTGACGTGGCTTGGCGACCTCGGCTAGGTACTGCGACCTCGACATGGTCGCCGGCAACTTGCCCCTCTTCATCGAGCGCACCGAGCTCGCTGAGCACGACATCGTCACCTACTCGTGGGGCGACGTCGACGCTCTCTACCTCCGCGGTCAGTGGACGGCGCGCGCATCCCCTCCCTCCGTCTCCTCTCCCCATTTCGCGCTATTCCGCACCCCCTGCGCGACCCCTCTCACACCTCGCTGCAGGTGCACCGTAACGCGCGCGACATCTTGACGCTGTGGAAGGGCTGCCCGCACCTCGGCTCCGAGCTGCAAAAGGAGCTGCTGCTCAAGGTGGCCTGGGTGCGACGGATGGAGTCAAAGGGCATGAAGTCCTACCCCAAGCGCTTCCAGAGCGCGGAGGGCTGCTACTCACACGCGGCGGCGCAGATGCCCGGCATCCGAATCAAGATGGCACACAAACAGTTCGTCGGCCTCTCCGTCCCCTCGGAGGAGGTTGTGTACGTGATTCGCGGTGCGGTCTGGCAGTGCCCGGCGGATGCGCACGTGTCGGTCGACGAGCTCGCAAAGCACTCCCAGCAGCCATGCAGCGCGAGTCTACCCGGCGTGCAGGAGGCGCTCGGCACGCGCCTGCCGCTCCGTGTGTCGTCCGAGGGTTGCGGCAAGTGGATGCCGGTCGAGTACCGCATGTGCGCAAGCTTGCCGGAGCCGCCGGAGCGCGAGCGCGACACGGTTAGCTTTAGCATCGAGCTCGAAGGCGGGCAGTTCTACGCGCAGCGCTTTCGCACGACGCTGCGCGTCCTGGACAATGGTTGCCGGCAGGGAGCCTTCTTTCACATGCAGGAGTGGAAGAAGCTGTGGGATTTCTCTTCCCACGGCGTCGACCCGCTCGAGCTGAGCCCGGGCACAGACCCGCCCTCCTTTCTGCCCTCCTTTACCATCTCCACCGACGGGGTGGCCCTCTTGACTTGAGAGTGTGATAGCGATTACGTAGTGTGTAGCACATGCGTGAGTGTGACGGAGCTGCGTGGGTTTTGAGGAGATAGTACAGGGTCGCCGTTGCTATTTCGAGAGCCACCCGCAGCACTCACAAGGCCTCCGCTCCGCTCTCCGGCAACGCTAAGCATCACCGGGACCGGGGGATGCCGTCGAAAGAGGGCTGCGGCTGCTTGCCGACCCGCGGGTCGTTCGGGTGGTTGCTCTTGTTGAGGATCTGCATCACCGAATAGAGGCTGATCGCCTTGTCGTCGAGGCTGCCCGTCACTCGGTTCGGAGCGGGTCCCTTGCCGTCGCGTCCGTTGTGCGGCGTGCCGTGGATGGTGAGGTTGATCAGCAGCTCCAGATTTATGCGCTTGAGGAACTGCTTCTGACTCACGAGAGGAATGGCGCGGGCGATGACGTAGAGGCCGACCTAAGAATGAACCACAATTCAGGGACTTGAAGTACGGTGGGGGGAGCAGCGACGGCACCTTGACGTCCAGGCGGGACACGTCCAGACCCTGCTCAGCGGCTTCTGCGTACAGCAACGCCGCGAAGTCCGGCACGCGGTTGTTCTGCATGAACTCGTCCGATCCGTAAACGATACCGTCCGCGTCGGTCAGGCGGATATCGTGCTGCTCGCGCAGATTTGCTGGCCGCACGCGCACTTGCTCGCCACTCGCGACGATGCGGACGCCACAGCGCCCACCAGAAACAGAGTCGAGCACCTCGGCCTCGCACCCGTTCAGATCGCTGCGAGAGCTGAGGCCATGCACGCGAACCACGGCGCCAGGGTATATGAAATGAGCGGCAAGCGGCACACCACAATCACTCAGATGAGCTCATTGTTTTCTCATTTCTTAGTTTTTTTTCGCGCACCGAGAGTTAGCGCGTGCGTTCTGCTGCTAGGGGAAACCCGGAGCGCGGTACTATCACTAGGAGACCCGTGTTAACTGTGAGGCCCTGCGACCGCGCCCCCCACAGCGCACAGGGCTATAGAGGGCTCTCTTGCCCGCAACCCGTCGAGCGTGTGAGTGAGTGAGATCAGTCGAGCAACCGCCGATGCCGATCCCAATCCCGTCTGGCTAACTCCACTCGTGGGGAGGGTGCGCTTCTTAGCTCCCCGGTCCTGTGTGGGGCGGTGCGGCAAAACGATATGAAATAACTGCACTCCAAGTGCTCCAAGACCAAGTATTTCAGGGAAACTCACGACAGTTGGAGAAGACGGCTTACGATTTTTTTACTATCGAACAGTACCAACCACATCACACGCTTCAAAGTGTCGTGCTTCTACGACGACACGCGCCCACGGTCACTCACGCGTCACGGTCCCCATGGGCCGCCCCATCCTCCGCGTCTGAGCTCAGTCGCACATGACGGCGCGCATCGCAGGGACAGCAGCGGCGAGCGCCTCGGGCCGCAGCAGCATCAGCAGCAGCTGGCCACCGCCCGGCAGCCCGCCACGCACCAGCGAGACCGCCTCCGCCCCCTCGGCGAGCAGCTCCTCCTCGACGCGCGCGAAGGAGGCGCGGCCGAGCAGCGAGGACAGCGAGGACCCCGCGGCACGCTTCTGCTTCTTGCTCCGCTTGCCGCCGCCGCCGCCGCCGCTGCCTCCGCCGCTGCCGCCGGCTCCGCCGCTGCCGCCGGCTCCGCCGCTCTCCGCGCCCGCCTGCGCGTCCAGCGTGACGTGCGCGAGCAGAACGAGCCACTCGAAAGTGAGCGAAGCGCGCTCGGCGGCGGGCTCGGCCTGTAGAGAGCAGGAGCGTGTGGGCGCGCGAACCAACAGAGGCGCGGGCAGGCTCGGCGGCGGGCGAGGCGTTTGCGGCCGCCCAGCCGAGGTCGAGGTGGAGCGACTCTACTGCGTGCGGGACGAGCTGGACGGGCGTGTTGACCTGCACCGACGGGGCCGAGGCGTGGGAGGGGAGAGGCCGACATGTGACATCATAATGCAATGTAACATACCATCCGCTCCGAGAGGAGGAGGCCGACGTCGGGGATGGGTTCGGGTACTGTGGGGGTATGGGCGGCGAGCGGACCATCCGCTCCGAGAGGAGGAGGCCGACGTTGGCGCCTCCGGACGGAGCGAGCAGGCCTGTCGGAGGAGGAGGGGGGGGGGGGGGGGTGAGGAGGGGGGCAAACCCCAGTGTGTGTGTGTGGGTGTGTGTGTGTGTGTGCATGCCTGCCAGCCGTTGCCGCAGCGGGCCGTCCTCGACGCGATCCGAGCCGAGCAAGCTGATCAGCCTGCGGCGAGAGAGAGGCGGCGTTCCGCAGCGTCAGGGACCAGCGCCCCGGCCGCTAGCTCGCCGCCTTCCGACCGACGGGCAATCATCTCGGGCCATCTCGGGCACTCATCTCGGGTCAATCTCGGTCAATCTCGGGCTGGTTGCCACCTTCCGACGGACGGGTCGGCCCGGTGCCTCTGCAGGCTAACCTGTGGGGGTCGGGGGGCTGGGGGAGGTCAGGGTGCGAGAATGGTCGTGAGAGGGAGGGGAGGCGAGGAGAGGCGGGGAGGAGGGGCGAGGGGAGAGGAGGGAATGTCTGCTCTCGCGTAGGGCCGCCCCCGGTTCGAGAGGCCGGCGGCGGCTGGATTTGAGGGGAGCGGCTCAGTGTTGCACAAGGCGTAGCCGCGGCGGGCGTCTTGGCTGCGCGCCGCCACGGCTTAAAGATTGTGCACGGTGTGGTGGGAAGGCGTGGCGCGCGTGCGGCGGACGGGCCGCGCAGGAGTGTGCGCGCGCGCTGGGCTGCCTCAGTGCCCGATGCTCTCTGCCATGGTGTGTGGCGGGTTCAAGCGCCGGTCAGGTTCTGCCCTATCGGGTGCTGGTCCTCACAGGCAGAGGGAGAAGAGGAGGAGAGCGCGGCAAGGGGCCAGGCACGGTCTCTCCGGGCGACTCTATCTCTCTCAGCCGCACCGCCGAGAGGAAGCCGAAGAGGGCGCCGTCTGCCTTGATCATTGTACCAACCTCAACCTGGTTGGCGACCGTGGCGGCGAGGCCGGCGGCGTCGGCGCCCGTCGCGGTGCAGAGCGATCCGCCCGCGAGGAGGGAGCGCACGTACGGCGTGTCCTCCTCCGCCGGGTCCGTGAAGATAAACTCGACCTGCAACTCCTTCTCGGCTCCGTCGGCCTGCGCCATCTCGAGATCCGCCTCGTCGCTGCTGTCGCCGCTATCCTCAGCCTCGTCCTCGCCGCCCGAGACCTCCTCGTCGTTGGATCCCGCCGCCGCTGCCTCAGCCGCGGCCTCCGCCTCCGCCGTGTCCCGCTTCCGCGGCATCGTGGTTGTGGCAAGATGACTTTTTTTTCTACTCGCCTCGATGCGCCTCGAGTGTGTGTGTGATGTGTGTGTGCCAAGGGCTTATGCTCTGTCGAGACGTGAGGCGCCTGCGCCCAGGAGGGGAGGGGGCATGCGTAACGACGCTGCTAGAGATGCCTTTCGGGGCCCAGAGATAAAACTTCTGATGCCATGCGTGACCTAGTAGTGTCCCCAGCTATGGGCGTGTCCACGTTGGAGCCAGGTGTGGTGTGGATGCGAGAATAGCTCCGCCGTTCATGGAGGCAACCGATGCGAGTCGACTGGTGTGTGTCGTCGTGGTTTCGTATCAAGAATACTCACTCACACACCATGCGCTCTCCTCTCCTTCTCCTTCCAAAATCTTGCTCACCCGCTGTCCTCGTCCCATCCCTCGTATGTCTCTATTTTCTTTATTTTTTGGGGGCGGGCCCGTGTCGACTGTCCCGTGCGAAAGAAGAATTTTGCGCGCTTTTACACTTAGAGCACGGGGAAAACATCTCCGGACTGGGCGCGGCGCACCACTGGCACTAAACCAGAGGTACACTGCGAAACTGCTGCGCGCAAAAAGAGACGACATGGTGATGGATGATTCGAATGCGGGGACCTGTTCCTTTTTACCCATCTCACAGCAGAGAGGTGTCCGTTTTTATTTATTTATTTATGATTCGAATGGATGATGGTGGGGGCTTTTGTGCCATCTGCATCTCGAAGACTCGAACCCTCCCTTTGGTGTCTGTTTTCACTTCCTAGCTTCTTTCTTTAAAAAGAGCCACATACTGAAGAATAATGGAGGAGCCAGATTTTTGCGCGCTCCCTGTGTCGGTCCCTAGCCACTTAGTGGTACGTGACGACTGTGTACGGGCTAGATTGTGTTCCGTCGCGAAGCAGACAGGTGCACGTAATACTCTCTTCCTGGGTCTGAGCGTGCCGGCCACCGCCTCGATGCCTCGCCAGCAGGGTCACACCGCCGCAGCGTTTCTGCGAGGGAGCTCCTCCCTGCACATTGCGGCTGCGCCCCGGGCTCCAACCCCGACTGCCCCCCCGCTGCGCGGACGAGGGGAGCGACGCGACTGGCCAGCCGCTCGAGCCCTCTGCGTTTGCGTAGCATACGTCGAAGGGCCGGGCTGAGCTCGACCACCGCAGGCACCTCCGCCACGGGCAAACAGAGCAGGGAGCACGTCTCCGCTGCGATGGCGGTGACGCGCGCCTACTCGCGCACAAGCGGGGTGGATCCGGGGACGGGGGACGGTGGTGGCAAAGTCGGCGAGGAAGCGGGCGGGTATTGGGCGGGAAGGACGGCGGCCCAGCGCACCGGCGCGGCGGGCGAGTAGCCCGCTAGCACGACCTCCTCTCCAAGGAAAGGCGAGGCGGACGCCTCTGTGAGCGTCCACGCGGAGTCGGCTCCGTCTGCGGCCGTCCGGGACATAGCGACCGTGCCCGCTACGAGGATCGAGAAGCAAGCCGGTGCTGCGCCGGCGGCCTGCAGCTGCTGACCAAAGGCGAAGCGGCCGGCGAGCTCGAGGAGGTCCGAAGGGGAGGCCTCGCCAAAGAGGGGCGATGCGCTGCGGCGCAGCATCGCCGCAATCTCGAGCGCCTCCGCCCTGCGCCCGCTCCCGTGCCAGAAGAGCGCCTCTCTCACGGGTGCACACGCCTGTGCACGGCCGTTGTGGCTGTGGACAGGTGTCGGGTGGTGGAGCAGTGGCGAGGTATCGGCTGGGGAGGTGGTAAGGTGTCAGCCGGTGGGGCAGTGGTAAGGCATTGGAGCCATGGTTTTGGAGGGGGCCGGCTGACCTCGAGGTCTGGCCTGCTCACGCCAAGTAGCCATGTTCGCTCGGCCGCCATCGCCACGCACTGTCTTTTAATGGGGCAGCCACGCGGCCGCAGCACCAACGCCGCGTGGCCGATCAGGTCGCCCGGTTTGCACACCGATACATCGCGTGTCGCCGCCTCGCCCTCCATGCTAGGCTGTCGTTGCCGCAATTCGATCGAGCCGGAGGCGATGATGTAGAAGGCCGACGCCGGCGCCCGCTCCCGCCACAGCACGTCGTACCTGCAGTGAATGTGGTGGGAGTGGCGACCGGTGGTAGGGCCAGTTTTCGCGCTTGTCTTTTCTGAGAGGCGTTTACCTCTGCAGGAGTCGCGGCCGCATGAGCCGCGCGAGGGCGTTCAAGGCGGAGTCTCGCCAGGCTGAAAAGAGAGGGTCGTCGCGGAGGGACGCGAGCGTCGCTGCCACGCCTGCGTCGAGGCCGGCCGCCGCCTCCGAATCCGCGGGCTGGCGCAGGAGCGACGAGCTGCTTCGAGGGCGGATGAGATGGGGCTGGTGCCGGGCGGACCGCATGCAGGCAGCTTCCCCACATGCGACCGGCGGACAGGGCGGAGGCCGACGGTCCCGCCGGGCGTGCTCGTCCGGCGCGCGGGGAGCCCGCTTTGCCACCGAGCGCAGAGAGGGCGCCGAAGCGGAGGGCCGCATTGCTGCCGCATTGCTGCTGCCAGCTGGTTCCGCCTCGCTGTACTGCAGAGGCCGCCGCGACACCTCATCGAGGAGGTTGCGCAAATAGCGCTGCGAGGAGAGTAGGTGCAGGCTTCGCAGCAGCGAGCCTTCCGCCTCGGCCCCCGACACATGCATGTTCGTTACATTGAGCGCCCCGAAAGACAAGACCGTCCAACCCTCGGAGAGTATTCATGGATTTTACCAGCTCCGGGAGGGGGCGTTCTGGATTAAGGGGAAACTCGGTACACGGAGCTAACCCTCGGAGTCCAGTGTTTACTTAGAGTTCTTTATGGCCCCTTCCCTGCGAAACACGAAGACGAACGCGCACCCCTAGGGGTCAGTCAGGGCTTTCTTGCTCGTACGTAGCCCGTCCCCGAGCATCCGGCCCGCTGGGAGCGCTGCTTAGCGCCCTGGCCCTGGGTGTGAGGTTGCCAACTGCACTCCAAGCTCCCCTCGAGCGTTCACTTTCCTCACACACTTGTGGGGCGGTGCTCTCACTTTTCGGACCGTGACATCATCTCCCGCCAGCAAAAAACGAGTGCAGGGGGAAATCTCTTACGTTCCACGTATCATGCCTCAAATCGGGCCGTGCGCTACGCCGCAAGCCGCATGCGCATGAGCCACCATCGGTCCCATTATGTCACACTGATCTTCCAGGCGCTCCACATCCAGCCTTCAGGACACACACACACCCACGGACACACGCCATCGATGCAGTGTAGAGGCTACCCCGGCTATCGAGGGGAGCCAGGGGGGAAACGGGAAACCCCCAAATCCCCCATGCCGCGAAACTCCGCCCCATCTCCGGCCACCAAACCAGAGCGCGCGCGGCGAGGCTCCGGCCAAGAGACGCCTCTCAGCCCATGCTCGCGAGGTTAACGCCGGGGATCATGTGGTCGTCCGGGTGCTCGTCGTAGCTCTGCTGCAGGAAGACGAGGCCCGACTTGTACGCCTGCCGCGCCAGGGGGGGGGCGGACGCGCTGGAGGCCGGGGCCAAGCCGAGCAGCCTGGGGGCACGGAAAGGCAACCCGCGAAAAAGAAAGACAGGTCGGCGCTGGAGGCCGGGCCGAGAGTGCTCTCGAGGGGGGAGGCTAGGGGGGAGGCTAGGGGGGGAGGCTAGGGGGGCAGGCTAGGGGGGGAGGGTTAGGCCCCGGGGGCACGCCTCCACACCGCCGTGGACCATGCCTCCGGTCGGGTCCTTCTCGCCGACCTTTGCGTCCCAATTCTCCATCGCCTGCACGCCGGTCGGGTCCTTCTTCGCGTCCGAGAGCAGCCCGCCCACGTCGCCCTGGCTCAGGTGCGCCAGCGCCGGGTTCCCTACGGCTCGAGGCACAGGCAAGGTCCCAGGGACGCTCCTCCGCGGCTCACGTTGCGCCGCTCCCGTCCGGGGCTGCCACTCTGCTCGGCGAAGTCGCCCAGCGCCTCGCCGCCGCCCTGCACGGCGCCGCCCATGCCGCCCCCCATGCCGCCCCCCATGCCGCCCATGCCGCCCCCCATGCCGCCCATGCCGCCGCCGCCCCCCTGCCCGCCAGCCCCAGCAGGGCGGACCGGCCGGTAGCCGCCCACGGAATATCCGCCCCGGCCTCTGCCCCGGCCTCCGCCTACGTGCGCGATGCCTCCGCGGCCTCCGCGGCCTGCGCGCCCGCCGCGGCCCGCCGCGGCCGCCGCCCCCCTGCCCCGCCCTATCGCGGCACTCCCTGCCCCGTACCCGTACCCGCCGCCGTAGCCCGGCGCCGCGGGCCGGACGTACGCCACCGGCCGGACCGTCGGGTATGCGGCGGCGGGGTATGCGGCGGGGTATGCGCCGGCGGGGTATGCGCCGGCGGGGTATGCGCCGGGGTAGGCAGCGGCGGCGGGATTGGCTGCGCCTTGAGGGAAGGGCGGCGGCGGAGGCGGAGTCGGCGGGCGCGGCGGCGGAGGCGGCGGCGGAGGCGGAGGCGGCGGGCGCGGCGGCGGCGGCGGCGGCGGCGGCGGAGGCGGCAAGGGTGGCGGCGGCGGCGGCGGCAACGGCGGAGGCGGAGGCGCAGGGGTGGGTGGCGGAGGCGGGGGCGAGATGAAAGGGTCTCCGGCCTGGCCAAAGAAAGCGCCCTGCTGCTGGTAGTGGTGCTGTGAGGGACGGTGCTGCTGATACGAGCTCTGCTGGTTGTTCGGCGCGTAGCCCTGCTGCTGGTAGTACGTCTGCGGCTCTCCCCAGCCCTGAGGCTTCGACCATGCATCATACCGACTACCGGCGTAGTTCACGCCACCAGACGTAACCTGATAGTCATCGGCAAAGCCCTGGCGCGAGCGCGCCTCGTTCTGGCGGCTGGGCGATGCCGAGTCGGCGGCTGACGGAAGGAAGAACGCAGGCAGGCCCTCGAATATCCTAGACTGGCTGTCCGTGGAGGCAAGGAGGACGGAACTAACGAAGAGCGCACACATGCCAGCGAGGAACGTTCTCCCAGTACCGGAGCACTCGCGGCGCGCGGAGCGCTGCAGCAGCGGGACGCCCGGCGAAGTGTCCATCCGCCAGCGAGGAGGCACCTCGGGGACCGGCACCGTGTGTGTGTGTGTCGGCAAGGGGCAAGAGGGGGAGGGCTTCCGCCTCTATTGTCGGCGCCCGAAAAAGAATCTACAGGCGGGGCGTTCTAGAATCTAGACATCCGGTCGCGCCACCGCGGCTGCGGGGCTGATAGAGCAGGCCGGCTGCGGCTCCTGATGTACCTCCGCTTTTGGGTGGCGGTCGCGCGCTGCCGACGGCGCTCGCCGGCGCTACGGCGCTCGCGGCGCGCTCGTGGCGTTCAGGGCGGCTCGCACACGCACACGCACACGCACACACACACACACACACACACAGACACACACACACACACACACACACACACACACACACACACACACACACATGCACAGACACACAGCCCCTTCCCCTCCCCCCTCAAGGGCGAGGACACGCACAGGCCGCACCTCTAGTGAGGCCCGCATAGTATGTGGGAGACTCGTGCCGCCGCCCCTGCCACCCCTGTGTCAGTGTGCCTGTGGTAGGAGAGACTGCCAGCGACAAGCTGGAGGCAGGTCGCTAGACTGAGATGAGACCGCCAGTGGATGTGGGAGTCCACCGCGCACCGCGCTGCGAGCCTGTCGTGTCCCTTGTCAGGAGCAGGAGAGCCCCACCTGTCCCCCTGATCGTTCTTCCAAAATCCTGCTCGTGCAGGTGTGGACCCTGTCCTCCTCCCATCCCTCGTTTGGCGTGTCTGTTTTCTTTCTTTCTTTCTTAGACAGTCCCGTGCCCAGTCCTGTGCCCAGTGTCGTGCGAGGGAGTTTTGTTGTAAAATTCTGCAAAGGGGTGTGAACGGAGAGAGCAAACTCCTGGCAGCTCCCACAGCCGAAATGTGCGCCAGCTGCCCGCTCACCTGTGTCACGCCGCCGCGCACGCACCTTGCTATGTGCTCGCGCGAGCTCCCGCCCGAACCTCCAGCTCGGCGTCCCACTGCTTGGGAGCCGATCGCTTTTCCTCGGCGCTCGCGTCGAGCCGAGCTCTCGGCACTCTACGGCGGGCGTCGCTGTGCGGGGCGCCCGTTTCCTGCTGGCCCGAGCGGAAAGCTCCACGCGCCCCGCGCGAGCTCCCGGCCGGAGCCTCCAGCTCGGGGTCGCACTGCTGAGGAGCAATTTTGTCCGTCCGGCCGGGGCCCCCTCGAAGGAACCCCAAACCTCCCTTTGGGCCTGTGCGGCCCCGGGCGAACACTTTTTCTGAGAAAGGGGGGGGGCGGCCCCAAACCCCCCTCCATTTTTCCTTTAAACCGGGGGGGGGGTCTTTTTTTTCCT